ATATATATATATACATATATGTATATAATTAACGTTAAAAGAAAAAGAAAAAAAAGGAAAAAAAAAAAAACAATCGAACAAAATACCGAAATGATTCGAGATATATATGGAAATTATAAAATGTATAAAGAGAGAAAAGAAAAAAAAAATTAAGGCGCGCTGAGCGTACGCCACCTTCGATGCCTCATTGACCTCATCTAATGCTTTTTTATCTGTACATTTACAATTTGTGTACCAATGAGGAACGTTGTTTAATCATGTTGTTGATGTTATTGTTAAAGAATGAGATTCAATATTGTATATAACTATATATTCATTATAATTGATGATATAAATAATTATATACATAAAATTAAGCTTTGGAGTTTTTTTATACCTTAGTGCTTGAATTTATTTCATGTAATTGATAAGAAAAAAAGAAATAAATATACGATATATTAAAAATTCTTCAATGTTCTTTTTAAAATAAAATTACCATTTGTTTAAAAGAAAATCGTACAGTAGTTTTTATTCTTTGAAATATTCGTCATTACTTTTGTAATTTTGTTTTCAAATTTTAATATATAATGAAGATATCGATGCTTTTTTGCGTTTCTTCTATTTTTAAAAATGGATATCTGGATTCAAATAATTTTGAAACGATCTGAATAAATCTGATAAATTTAATAAACTATCATTTGTCAAATTCAATATTAATTGATAAAAATTTGCACTGATAGTTTAAGATGTTAAATAAGTTGTAATATAGCAGATATAAATTGGAATTATAAGTAATTTAACGTAAACACACTGAATTATTTTCTTAATGTGAAATTATAGATTTTTCACAGACAAAAACAAATATAAAAATTGTTGATTGAAATTTTAAATTATAATTTATTTAATTATAAGTATTTGAAGTTTGCATTGAACCAAGTGAGACGGAGATAGAATGAGACATCTAGCTTCATCAGCGCCATCTCTCTACGCATATATCTATCTCACTTTATCCAACTTAAATTGCTTATAAATTAATAAATATGCCTTAATTGATACTTTTGTATATAAGCTTTTATATTTGTTTCGATTTCTAGAATTTATCCTGCAAAGATATACCATTAACGTCTTGTATTTAATAATTATTTACAATTTCTTAATATTTAGAATTTTAAGTTAGTATTTAAAAAATCAGGTACCATTTAATGTCAACATATTTTGTTTATTTTACAGTAACAACGAAATAACTTTTCTAATTATTATTACAATAATAATAATAACGACTTTAAATTAAATTCTTCCAATCAAGCACGTTCCATTTGTACAATTTAACTCAATCAATGTCAAGTGCTGATTCGGTCGATATTCGTATTCATTGAATCTAACGATATATTAATTGTGATCGAAAAAATAATTACAATTTTCAAACGTATCATTCGTATAATTGTAAAATAATTTTTTCACGGAACGAATATTAACGACTAAATGCATGTACAAAACATCGAAATATACAAAACAATTTCAACAAACGTCGTCACAACAAAAACAAAATAAATATCTAATAAACAATTCCTAATTTTTTTTTTTTTCTAAAAACAACAAACAATCGTTCGTGTAATGTTTTCTCGCTTGATTATAAATAAAACAATGGAAAGATATAAAAAAAAAATTAATCTAAACGTCGAGATAGAAACTATAAAAAGCCAGATAGAAACCATCGTGATCATATTTCTACCGCTTTAAACACCGAAAATAAATAAACAATTAGTGTCGACGATACTACATTCTTCGAATGGAATATGATTCGTCGACACATTGTATTATTTGTATCAATCGTGTTATTTCCTCGGTGTTTTATGCACTTTTCTCTTCCTATTCTCGCCGCTTACTTTCCAAGTTAGCGACTAGTGTTGATGCGTGATCTCTGATATTCTACAGTGATAAAAGATTTTCTATAATTTTCCATTTGTATCGATTCGATTCGATCGATCTCTTTAACCGGCAACATGATCGTATAATTCTAGCAGAGTATCCGTTATTCTGTCACGGTATTGGGGTACGCGTTTCATTTGTTCGCAAAGCAAAGGTGTTCTGTCCACGTAGAGAATGTTTTCCAGAAGTTCTGGCTCGTTTAAGAAATACTTGTTGACAGCCGCGGACTCCAACAACATGATCGGTATGTTCAACACACCGTGAACGATGCACATCACACGCAAATCCTCGATCGATTCTAAGAACTCGTCCCACGGGAAAACGATGGAAATGTCCAAACCAGCTTCCTCCAGAGCCTCGGCCATTGATTCGTGATAAATCTTGAACAACTCTTTGCTGTGTTTCTCGCGCAGTTGCCGCGTCGTTGTGAATTGGAGGAAACAAAGAATGTCGTGAGCTGGTGGATTGTATCTGTAACGGAAACAATATTTATCAGATGTAGATGGATCACCTGGTTCTTTTCTTAGATTCAATCTGAAACTTTGTGAAAAACTCTTGAGATCTAGAATAGTTTCTTTCTTCTTGTTAAGGATTAAAATTTTAATAAATTTCAAAGTTAATTTCGTAATTAGAAAATAAAGATTTTTTTTCTTCTTTTTTCTAAATGAAATCGAGCTAATAAAAACGTCTTCAATTCAGATTCAATTGAATCATTATTTTAATTAAACAAGAATAGAATTTAAAATTTTTTGTATTTCAGATAATTTTGAAGTTTTTAGATTTTGATTTCTATTTATATTAAATACGTTTTGAAATTTGCAGTTTCTTGTTAAAATCATTTATATTGATTAATTAAAATTAATTTTAATTTTTTCATAAATAAATTGCATAAATTTAATGAATTTTCTGACAATATTCAAGTGTTAACGTATTTCGAAGTATATTAAACAAACTTTATGAAAAAATTGTTAAAAAATTTTACATTACATTCCTTTTAATTACTTTTACATTTAGAATTTCGATTATTAACATTTCGAATTTCGATTTATTTAGTTAAAAATTGGTCTTAAGTCTTTCTATATTATTATTAAATAATTATTACGTATTCTAGTACATTAAAATTTTATAAACGATAAAAATCATTTCTATAAATCTAATTAATCTTTGAAATATCTTTATTAGTGAACTTGAAAACACTGGAAACCGATCTTTTATAGACGATACGTCATTAATTACCTGGCAAGTTGAAAATCGATAAGGCAACATTCCACAGGTTTCTCGTCAACGTCGTACTTGAACAAAATGTTATTTGCCCATAGGTCGCCATGGCATAATACGTTTTTGTGCTTCATAGACGGCAACAATTTGTTGGTGTGATCGGCGCACAAGTCATTAACCTTCTTGCTGAACGTTTTCCGCTGCTCCTCGTCCAGCTCCGGCATCAAGCCTATCAATGAAACGATACCTTTTACGGCGGCGTCGAACGTGGCCTTGGCACGGCCATCCTTCAGAGGCCACAGCGTTTCCTGCATGCAGTGAGAGTATTTGTCGTGCAGACTCCTCTGATACAATTCCTCGAAGATCAACGATTTCGCGTGGAATCTCGCCAACGTTCTCATCAAAATCTTGCAGTGCTCGAAATCGAACGGTTTGAACTTGTCGGTCATCTCGTAACCGTAATGTGCCATATCTTCCAGCACGATCACGTCGTCCTCCAGGCCAAGGAAACACTCTGGGATGCACCTCTTGTCCGGGCCGTCCAATACCTCCGGGAAGACCGTGGTGTAGAGGGCGACCTCCTTCTTGAAGGCGCCGTAATTTTGAATAAAATCGTACAGGGGACTGGTCATCGGTGGTGGCAATTTCGTGAAGAAGTTGATGTTCTTCGTCTCGAGTGGCGATTGGGGTGAAGCGACGGTTGCCTTCAACGTGAAATATTGGCCCATGAACCCGTTCACCTCGTCTATGGGCACCATCTCGTAAGTGATCAACGAGAAATCCTCCATCGAATCTTTGTGAAGCTTCTTCCGTATTATCTCGAAGCATTCCTCGTCTTTTAATATCTTCTGCGTGCTTAGATTACGCATTCTATCACTTTCGATTCCGCTCTCTATGCTATAATCCTTCTAATATATCTTTCTTGCAGCGCTAAGTATTTTTTCCTTGAGCTATGACACGGATTCTCTCGGTGCACGATCAGCCCGCGGAATGGAAACGTCTCTCCTTTCCCTCTTATATTTCTAATCTACCACGATCGCGTAAAAATGGAACGATAAATGTTTAAGTTTTTTTTACGATCTCTCTTTTTTTTTTTCACGCGACACAGTTAATCCGAGATTACACGATCGAAGAAATGAAACAACTTACGAAGGGACTTACGCGAGCAAGGAAGGGAGGTCCGGCCGATCTGGAGAAGATGCCCGCTTCGAATTGATCTCGTTCAAGATCATGATATATATTGACGAAGAAGAGATGCGTGTCACGTGCACGTTACGACATAAATAATGTGTGTCGAGCTATTTTCTCCTTTATTGGCACTGATTGAGGCTAATATTAGACACGTTACAGCGGGCCATGTACCGCATAAATGCGTGTAAATGGATCTGATGGCCCTTTATTGACACTGTTCGCGATGGATCGATACAGGGGCCATATGCGTGCAGGAGTTACGGGCGGAAACGAATGGTTGAATAATGTTGAAACGATGAGACAGTGGGCTCGGTTTTCGTTTTGATTATTAGATAGATATGACTGCCTGTTTGCGGTCACGTGTATCGACAACATCGGGGAAACGAAGTCACGTTCCGCACGTGACGACGATCTAGTCAACCACTTCTGGTCTTTGCACTTTGAATTGATCGCGCGCAGGATTGAGCTTTTTTTTTTTTTTGCTCGAGATAAAAATAGCGGATAAAAAGGGATAATTAATTTTGATTAGGATTGGGCTTTTGTTTGTTTGAGGCAAAGATGTGTTTGTAAAATAAATTTTAAAATCTCGTTCGGAGAGTAAACGATTTGTTTGTTATTATTTCAAGCAATGATAAGAGATAAGGAATAATGAAGTTTCTTGTGCGCGTAAGAGACGCAGATTTCATTTCAGATTAAGAATCGAGGATTTCAAGAACTACGCAGGAAATGTCGTGTTTTTGGGGAATGAAAATTTGTGCAAGATGTTTTTATGATTTTAAAGTGAAATTAAATGTTAAAGTATATTCATATATATATATTCGAATAATTTAAGATGATATATGTAAAATGAAACTAATAAGGATTTTAATTATTGTTCGAATTAGAATTTATATTTCGATAATGCCATAATTCTGATTATGTTCTTTTCAAACAATTGATTTCTTTAATTTGAATAATTTCATTATTTAAAAATAAATTGATAATTGTAATAATTTTAAAAAAATATTATATTCCTAATATTTGCAATTATCTCATTTCTTTTCTCGTTCGTTTTTCTTTTTAAATTATTTCTCTGGTAGTAATAATAATAATTATTATTATTATTTTTAACTATTTCAATTATGTATCATTTTTCACGAATATGGATATAATTTATTGTAAGTTTAGATAGATAATATTACATATAAAAAAGTAGAAGAGATTGAGAATTTAGTAAAATGATATTTAAAAATGATTGTGGTTATTCAAAATGAAAAAAATTATTAAAAATTACTATTAATCAATATAAGATTTTGCTACGATAAATTTTATTAAAATAAAATAAGTTATTAGATTAAATCTGAAATAGAATAAAATTTTTTATTAATGCATGAATCAAACATTGATTATCATATTATATATGATATCATTTTAACTTTTTAAAAACATTTTCTAGCAATTCTAAAAAATATTGCAATTCTTAGATAATTTAACAAGTTCTATCTTAAACATTTTTTTCATCAGATTATTAAAAAAGTTTATCAATTAAAAATCCTATATATACAATAAATTAAAACAAAAAGCAAACAAATTGTTTCTTATAATTATTATTAATTATTTTTTATATTCAATGAAATAAACTGTTTCGATTATATTGAATTTTTAAAAATATATATTTTCGTAATTTGACCTTGATCATTAGTTTCACTTAAAATCCATGAAAAAATCAGTATGCATAATTTTATTACCCTGTTATATTAGTTTGAACTAACTTTTCAAAAGACGCAATAGCGTTATAAATAACGTGTAATACGAATAGTAAAATATCAAAGTCAGGGACAATTCACTAAGGTTTTCCAATTCACTAAACTATATCACTTATTGTCAATGAATATTAACTCTAAGAAAACTGGCCGCAATTCCTGTTAATTGAAATATCATCCAAGTGATTTCTTAAGATGAATACCAGCAATTTTCCTAGTTAGTCTTAATTGAATCTAGTATCTCTTATTCCATCGAAACGAGTGTCTATTAATCCGACCTTTTCTCGTCTTACGAAAGTATAATCGTATCAATTATTAATAAATTGCATATATGTGAATAAAATAAAATCAATTTAATGAAGAAATTTTTCTAAATAAATAATAATGATTTTTTATTAACATTTATATTTAATATACTAACGAAATAAATCAAATTAAAATTAAAATTAACAATCGATATTTTTATATATTTAATCTTGTATTTGTTTTTCCTAGAATCGATCGTTTAAAAATGTCTCGTATCAACATCCTGAATATATGTATATCTTTTTCAAGGATAAAGTGAATATAAATAGTTTCTACATCGTCCATAGTAAATCGCAGATGGCGTAAGAAACACTGTCTCTCGAAGTCGGTATTTCAGAATGTGAAATATTAAATCCTGTAAAATCTCATGTTTATATCGATATTTTAAAATTTATAATAATGTTTTATATATAAATGATATTTCATTCTTTTAATTTATCGAATAACAGTGATGTTAACTATCATGTAAATATAAAACAAAATTTAATAAGAAAGGAATTTTAAAATAATGTTATATTTATGAAACTTTATTGACGTTTATTAGGATTTATATACTCTGTTCAACGAAATGAATTAACATAAATAGACAAATTAAATTACATGATAAACGCTGCAATTTCAGTTATTGGTTAATAAACCATTAGTATTAGAATTGTTAATATGTCAGTATTCGATAATGCTAGTTAACTGTTGCTGTACTGATTGCTTATTTCTATGAAGATGAACTGTATTTATTACTTCAATGTTTTATATTAAATGTCGAATAATTTCATAAATAAATTAATATATTTAAAAAAAAAAGTAGTTTTCTATTTTATACCTCAAGATTAAATTCGACACTAATTCCTCTAGATTATATGGTTTTGTTTATGCTTGCTCTTTAATGACCGATATGTATATGTATGTTCATTTAAATATATGCAATACAATACATCATGAAACCATATTATAATCATCAATTCGAATCACTGCAAATAAATAAACCTATATAAGTAATAAAAATCTAAAAAGTACAACTTTCAATTAACAGTAATTCTTTCCACAAATTAATTTATTCGTGAATAAAACATATCAATAATAAATAAAGTATTAACAAACATAAGTCAATTATAAAATAAAAATTTCTCTATATCTTAAATATATTAAAGATAAAATATATGTAAAATATAGGACATTTTTAAAAATTGGAAGAATTAAAAATTGTGTATACAATAATAATTATCAAATATAAATTAATTGTTTTATTATTTTTAATATTTCAAAATTTATATACCAAATAATCAGAATTTATTATATGTTTTTTATATATTTAATTTATGTGAACAAATATTTAAAAAGTGAACAAAGAATGTTTAATAAGTGATTTAAAAGTAAAATTATTTTTCATGATTTTATAAACAAAAAATAAAAAAAAACTTACATAAAATTTTGTGATTTATATTTATTCATTAATATTTATTATCTAAATTGTGCTTATTTTTAGAATAAAAAATATATTATTTTCTCTTCTCCGTAGTATTTAGTTAATATTATCATAATTAGTTTAATCAACAAAACTTGTTTTGTCTAGTTTCTAGTCTCTTGTTTTGATAAACTTGCAATAAAATAATTGTAGCATGAAGATTTATGAAATTTCGTCGAAAATATATTTGAACCGATAAACAATATTTCATGGAAAAATAAAATTCAATCATTTTCCTGATAAAAAAGTTTTTAATGAAATGTAAATTTAAATAACAAATTTAATGGCAAATTTTTTGAAATAATAAAATAAAAAGGAACGTTTTGTTTTGTAATTTTCGAGAAATTTCGAGATATATAAACTTATTCTTTTATTTTTTTTAAATATTATCATCATTTTGAGTATAATAAATTTTAAAAGAAGAGTCCTCTAAAAATAACTTTGCTTTTATTTTTTAACAGGATGACTTCTTTAATCTTTTCTTATTTGAAGAGTTGTTACCAAATAAAATAATCCTTACTGCTTACAATATTTTCTTCTATGTATTTTTGACATTGAATAATTCTTTTCTGAGGCGTCGATAAATAATAATTTTTCATTTTAGATTAAAAACTTATAAATGTCTAAATAATGAAGAACGTTTAATTAAAATCATTGTAATTGGTATTTATTCCATTATGATTGTAAATATTCCTCAATTACCACAAAGATACAAAGGGCATTTCTTATTAATATTCGTAAAAGAATGACACAATTTCAAATATTTTAATAAAATAATTCTGAAGAACATGTCAATCTCATTTTTCGATTTCTCTCACGAGAAATAATCCATTTAAAAATTTTCATTTTTCTTCATAATTTATGGCAATTTCTTAGCCATGCAGAATGAAGAAAATATTTTAAATAAATGTTATTAAGTTCGATCACATTATTAAGTAATAATATTTAAATAATAACAAATTAATGCAATATACCATTAAAAAAATAAGATCTTATTTGTCTATTTCATATTAAATTATATTAAAAATAATTAATCCGCCATTCTAATTAATTAAGAAAAATCAATACTTGCAACATTTTTAATTTAAATACGAAAAGTTTTCATATTTTGTACATCTCTCGCCCTATATTATGCATATATGCATAAAAGCACCTCCTTTTAAAATACGTGAGAAATAAAAAAAAAAATGAAACATATTTTATATTTCACACGCATCCAACTGATTACCATACCATCCCATACATACATATGGGCGTTTGATGAGATGGACTTTGTATAGCAATTAAGAACGTCTGCCTGCGATAATTTCAACTTTTCCGTCTCCTTTTCCACTATTTTTCTGTAGCTATTACTACTACAAGTAATTTTTATGTCTCTCCCTCTACTATGATGTTGTAAGTATTTTCTTTTTTAACTTTGTTTATATCTCAACATTAAACCATACATCTAATATAAAGTTTGCAAAATACAAAATATATTCTGAATGTATTTAAAATATTAGAAAAATTTGGAAATGATCATTAACTTTTTGTGAATTTATCATTTAATGTAATGTTTTATATTATTGTTACAATGTTTATTTTACATTTACATATCCTCGTTATTTAACAATAGATAATTAGATACAAATTTCTTTTTTTGGAATTTTTTTTAATTAAACAAAGATAATGATTCCAATTTTTCAACTAATTTTTTTAATAATCGTGTTATAATTCTCTACGACACAATCAATTATAATTATTAAAATTATAAAACTTTTTAATTTAATGAAATATATTCAATAGTACAGTATATAAAATACATATATATATATATAAAATTAAAAATTAACGTGAAAATTAAATTCTTCCAAACTATCTAATACATCTATTAATGAAATCTTTCTATGAATAATACATCTGCCTCGTATTTATAGCGACGATTACATATATATTGCTCTGTTCTTCGCGTGTACACGCTACAGTAAACGTAACCTTAAATCTAACACGTTTGAACACAAAGTCTGTGGCTTCGAATACAAAGGATGGTAAACGTGGGTGATCAAACTTCATCGGGAGCCAATTTTAATTTCCATGTGATGTTTAAAGAAAAAAATAAATCTTTATCAGCCGGATATCATTGGATCACAAGCGTGAGGAAAACGAGAAAAGATTTTATTCGTAAGGCATCATAATGCCACAGCTGTATAATCGACGTGTCATAGGTCAAACCGATGAGATACCATTTCGCAGGCTTCGACGTTCGCAGTCGATGGCGTGTTCTTTGGCGAAACATCGACTACCTCTCTGTCATTTGTCTTTACATCCTGCCGAGCTCCATTATATAATTTCATCACGATCAATTCACACTTCGCTATCGGTCCAGTCGGCTGTCCGCACTTTGAGGTAAGGATCAACTGTCTAACACGATTAATCATCCGATTAAATCCGATTCTCGTAGATTTTTCATCGATCGATTGAAATATTGTTTCATCGATTCAAAAAAAAATTCTTTCTTCCTCTTCGTGTCAAATTTAATACACGATTTTTCTCGTGATTCTTTCTTAACGAATGTAAGGTTATTATTTGGATTACAATTCGTCGACAAAGTCTGCATTGTGATTTTGATAAGAGAGATAAGAATAGGGGTATCGACCTGTGCTTAATACGGGCCTATTGTATATAATCACGGTAAACTTGAAACAAACCTGCATTATTCTATACTGTACTATACTATATAAATTAGCATTTACAATGGTGAAAGGGGAGACCATTCGGCTACTATTCGTTTTCATTAAAATTTCTTGCATTGTTTAAAACTTTTTCGAATACAATTTGAATCTGTACAAAGTTGAAGACAAAAGTACGAGATTTATGGAGAAATTTATAAATGATGAAATTCTCGAGAGAAGTACAACCTTGATATTAACCACGAGGTATATTATAATATGACCTTTCTTATCTAATTTCTACAATTAGTTTCACTCGATTACTATGTGTTTATATCATGTTTATATCATATGCAATTAAACATTTTTAAGCCGTAGAAATATTTTTTGTAACATTCTATTTTATAATTTTATTTATGTCAATCACACTTGGCTTTAATTATTAACCTTTATCGCGTATCATTAATTATATTCATTATTTATATAGTCGTATATTATACAAAATCATTTTACGTTGTTATTAAAACTTATTTCATCGAAAGCTATCAAACATTTGTAATAAATAATAACGTTAATTTTCTTTGGTTGGATAAGAATATTACGCGAAGAAAATAATAATGGTAAGATGATCTAATGAAAGAAAATTGACAAATAATTAAATATTGGAATATTTAATAATATTATGAAAAAATGAAATTTGATATCGTTATCAATTTACAAATTTTATATTAATTCAAGATATATATGCGGTATAGAATATGCGTACGTTAAATTTTTTTGTGTAATTTCTCCAAGTACTTGTGCACTCGTGAAATAAATATATAAATGATAAACACTTTCGTTCGTTAAATTTAAAATATGACATACTTTTCTTTTTCTTTTTCTTTGTTAAAAACACATAATGCTTATCTCTTATTAACGTATACATAAAGATTAAAATATTAAAATTTAAAAATACAACGAAATGTTTTCAAATTTAAATCGCAGCTATATCGATTAAACGAATCAAAAATATTTACGAAGAAAGAAATATTCAACTCCCAGTATGATAAATGTATGAATAAAACGCACATATAACGATATTGATTTTAATTATTACAGCAAAAATTTTCACAAATGGCACGAACGAATGTGAAAAGGCGACATTCTGATTTGCCGCAATTCGAATCAGTCGTCAGAATCTCCAGTCTTCCCATCGTGGAAAACGGTATACACATAGCTGGCAATGTGTACGATAGAATAAAGGTAAGCAAAGTTTAACAAAATATTTTAACAATCCAACAGTTTTGTACATTTTCGCCACTTTCTCTCATCTTTCACTTGCTAGTTTCACCGGTTGTGAAAGTACGCTATATATAAAATAGAATAAAATAAATATACATTCCAATCGTTCCGAAAGAGCAATGCAAATAAGTAACAAAGAAGTATCGGTAAAATATTATTTTCAAATGAAAAGATTTCTATATAAGATTTCAACCAACTAAATATATCTTCTGTTTATTAAACTTTCGACCATATACTGTGTTATGTATACTCCTAAGGACAAACATATATTGTATTTTTGAAAGTAACTATAATTTAATCAAATATAACACAATTCAATTTCTTACATTTTATTTGATTCCTATATAAGATTCATTCAAATTCAAATTTTAATTTAAGACTCGTATAAATATATTAACAACAAAGATAATATTTTCAATTTCAGCGTTCGAATTCATTGATGGGTTGGAGTTTGTATACTGCTGAACAATCATTTGCGATCGCAACAGCGTCAGCAAAACCCGCGATTCATGCATTAAATGGACCTATTACAACGATCGATCAATTGCTCTGTAAAGGTATAGATATCGTTGAACAAAGAGTGCCGGCAGTACATCTTCCACCACATCTTGTAAGTAGAAATAATTTTATACATAAACGTAAAAAATGATATTAATTATTTATTTTAATTAATTGTTATTCTAAAATTAAATTCGTGTTATTATTAAGATGTACTGCAATGCACGAGAATACGTGAACAATAAAATCGTCAGGCCTGTTTTGATGCGTGCTGGAAGTGTGAAGATAATAGGAAGCCAGGCTGCGGATGTTGCAGTAGACACGTTAGATGGTGCTTTAACTGTTGCGGACAAATATGTTGATCATTATTTACCTGCTGATGTTACCGACGGTATAGATGGTAAATGAATCGTTTCGAATTACTAATGTTAATTTAAAATAACTTTTAACGAATATTAAAAACGTTCGATTTAATATAACGATGGATTACAATTTTTAATATAAATGCAATCTTAAATTATTCGAAACAATTTTTCAATTTCGGGGGGAGATTAATTTTCTAGAAGAACGAGTGAAGGACAAACGTATGAAGGTCAAATTCGTTATTCTAACTAGAATCATAGAGTACATGAATTGTATGCAGATGATCAATTTCTAACCATAACCGTAAAACCATAACCATAAAACCATAACCGTAAAACCATAATCATAAATCTTTGTTAAGCTAAGGAAATGCTTTATTGCTTTGGGAAATATTTTAACTTTAATTTCGTCTAAAATTTAATCCAAAGGGAAAAATTAATTTTATTTGGAATATTTGACATTGATAATTGGCAAAAAATAATAATAATAATTCGAATTAAATTAGTAATAAATTTATTTTTGGTACGAAATATTTTTTGTATACGTTTTATATTTATTTATGACAAACAGTAAATAAAACTAATTATCTTTGAGTCGAAACTCAAAACGTCACCGTACCAGACATCGTTAGACTTAAGACCCTTTTCAGGCTTAAAATAGATATCTTTAATACCTCGCGTGTTACCTGGGGTGTAAACCTATTATATAATGGTAACTGGTAAAGTGGTGATTAAATCAAAAGGACAATAGTTAAAATCTTTTTAAAATTTAATTATAAATCATAGGCTAAGACTATTTATTGGTAAAAATCTCT